TTCTTATATAATCAATTTTGATTGGCTAATTTTTGTGTAATTGATTTTGATTGGTTAAAAATATATATGTTTTCTTTGTTTTTATATTAAATGCCAATTTTTTAAACTCATATAAACTTTATTCTTTTATCCCTTAAACCGTAAATTTTAGTGTACAAATTTGTATGCTAAAATAATTAAAAAAGGCAACATTTAAAAAAATTTTTTTTTTTTTATAATATTTGTTTAAATTGGTAAGAGTAATTTCCAAGAACTCAAATTACATAATGCACACCATAAATTGCAATTGTGCATATACTGTAGGACCTAAAAAAAAAATTTAATTCATGATACAGCAGTGAAGTACATAATTTAGTTAAACTTTTAGAGATCACCTTGGCTAATTTGATTAGAAGCCTATTTATTTTAAAAAATAATCGTATTACAAAGTGCATAACAACTTCATGAATCATAGAATGAACAGGGGTCATGATTTACAGGTCGATTAATTTATTATCTATATTGGGATGCCATCATGAATCATTAATTAAAAAAGTTAATAAATTTGTATCTTGGTACAATAATGCTGTAATGTAATAATTATGTTGCATATAAAAAAAACCAATTTAAATATTTAAAATAACTGCACAAAGGAGGCTACAAAAGCCTTGTATTATTTATTTATTTATTTTTAGTTATTAGTGTGGAATTGCAAAAAACAATTCTGGCCCATGTTGCAACAAAGAGGCACATTATACGCAACGCACCAAAAATTACTACAGTTTGGTAATTTACGATTCATTTCTATTTTTTTTTTTGTCAACCAAGAGCACCAGCGACATACTTCACGCTTTTCTTTCCATTCAGCTAAGTGGTTTCTAGGTGATAGCTGCAGATCCGAAAACTCAGTGTGTTTTGTCATTTTAAGCCATTTTGTTTTTTCTAAAATTTTTTTTTTTGTATTGTTTCTAAGTTGAATTTCATCATTATTAGTGAAGTTTATAAGATCCCATACAAGGTCACTGCGAAATTTCTTATGTTCTTGTATAGATTCTAAAGTTCTGGCAATATGATATAAATTAATAATAACAGTATCTAGAAGCCAAAAAAAAATTAGCATCCAATTTCTTTGTGTCATTTTTTGTGTACTGTAATATGATCGTAGCTGATCAGCCACATCTACACTGTTTATATTGTTGTTGTAATCATCAACTATTTTAGGAATTTTTAATTGTTTTTTTGATTCTGAGCCAAACATCATATGTACCTTAGTCAGTGATATTGATGAATTCATTTTGTTAGATAGAGTTTGAATGTATTACCAAAAAAAAAAAAAAATTTAATGCTCAATTTATTAAAAGTTTAATTTAATTATACACAAAAGACAATCAATATGTCAATGTGCCAAAGGCATACTTTGAATGCAATTCAAACTATTTTATTTTATCTTTTATTCAAGATTATCATGTAATTTTGCAGACATGCATATTCACGAAATTATATAATAGTCATTGTTAGAAATGACCTAGCAGTAAGACTAGACAATAAGAATATTCTGGTCAGTACCACAAAGAAAAAGTAGCAAAAAATAGCAGAGCCAAGAGTTTGGAAAAATAAAAATATATAAACTGATCTTAGATGTATTGGTACTGGTTTTTCTGGGTTATCATCTTTCTTTCATTATTTCCCATTCTTCACTAACAAGACTGTAGATTGTTGATAACATCGTAACAGGCCCGTTGTCCTGTCAAAAAAAAGCTATTACTCCATTAGTTATAACTTCAGAATGAGTATTACAGTTATATTTGATATTTTTATTCACTTTTAATTCTTTTGGAAATCTGGAAGTATTTTTTCGAACAGTTCTACATGTGCCAATGTCAATTTGCTGAAGATGCTGAAAAAGAGAAACATTAGAAAAATAATTGTCTATATATATGTTAAATGGAAATTGCTGGTATGGAAGTTGCTCGTCAAGATGGAGGACCAGACACCTAATTTGACTAAGACTATTTATTTTTTTTACATCACTTGGAAAAACACGTGATGTTAGTAAAAAAAGTATATGTATACCCTCTTTACAAAGAGATATGATCTTGAATCCTTCAGGAGTTGGTTTGTTTTTTATTCAAACAATATAGATGTTTCTGCCAAAGAATTGAATTACTATTTCATCTACTGAAACATTCGAATTTGGTATATAAAAGCATTTCAAAATGTCTCAAACATGGGAGAGCAACAGCTCCAATTTTTCAAAATAATTATTAATGATTGTTGTGGGGGGGATATATGCAAAAACCTTTTAATTTGTTCAAAGCATATTAATAACATTTGCTTAGAAATATAGTGAAGAGAGAAATTCGTATCCTCATTTTAGTATTGTTCAAGGGAGAGAGACTTAAAAAGTCCCTGATAAATGACTAATGCAATCCAGATTATTAATTCTTTGCAAGTTAGATTCTGCCATTCTCTACCAGTAATGCCAACATCTTTGTTAGTTGCATACAAATTTGTGTTGACAACTATTGTGTCTAAAATATCAATAGTAAAAAAAAAAAAAAAAAAAGTCAACTGCTTTTAAGGCACCAACTTCAAGATGTGACAGCAACCAGACAGATGCTTGATGTGAAGATTTTAAATGAATATGTGTTTCAAAATTGGATGATAGTGGTGGCAGCTCTTGTTGCAAGGCTTTTGTTGATGTTTGTTTTCTTTTGTAGTTACTTTTAACATCTAATTTTAAGGTTTCTTCATTATCGTTGTCTTCTGAGTTAAGATTGTCCAGGAAATGCTGGTGAAAGATCAAAAGAGATTCATATTCTTCTTCACTATCTGCATTTAATTCTATGTTTTCAGGGGAGCGAAACTTGAAGCCAACATACTTGTCTTCATTTGTAGAAGATGTATTTTTTTTTTTTTTTTTTTAAATTCAAATCTTGATTAAACACATTTGTTATTGGTTTTTTTTTATTATTATTATTTTTTATTTAACATTAAGTTCACAAGTAATTATTCGTATATATTTATCATTTAATAGGTTATTTCATATTGACTTTAATACGAATAGTGATTCTGTTTAATTCTTAATGCCAATAATTTATTTAAATCAACATTTTATGCAGTTATGATTATCAAAGTTACTCAAGTACACAGTGTTACATTAGTGACATGTAGAAGATACTGTGAATCATGAGGACAATCTACATATGGTATGCTTCAAATTTAGCTTAGGAATGAGGAGACACAAGCTTAATAAAACCTTGTATAATTATTGATTAAAAATTTTAGCATACAAATTTGTATGCTATATGGTTTAAGGGATAACTTTTTTAAAACAAAGAATAAAAAAAAATCCTTTGACAGAAATGTAGTTTATCCAAAAATCTATCAATTTGTTAGAGGTTTTTTTGATTTAACCTGTTTTAAAAAAGTTATAACACTTCAAAGTTTTTATTAATAAACATTGAATGTCTTTTACTTTCTGGTACTGTAATAAGAACTAGAATCAATGGTTTACATTATAATAGTGATAGGTGTAACAGGAGGTATTACATACAAGTAAAGAATCAATTGTTGTGGAACTTGAATGACCTTAGCCATCTGAGAGTTTATTATTATTAAATTAGAAAAAGGTCAATCACATTCATCTTATTCATTGCATATGACTAATTAGTTATGTAACAAATATGTTGAATATCAATGATCAGTCAGAAGGGCATTATAAAAGATATCATTAAGATGTTATGCATTGGCAGCATCAGCAATATCAGTCATATCAATTGCAGAATGTAAATTGAATTTTGTATTTTTTAACCTAATATTGAATTTATAAATGAAATAACTACAGAATCTTAAGTTTTAAAAACTGCAGAATCTAAGATTTAAAACACTTAGAACCTGGAACATTACCCGGGCCTGAGAGCTAGTCGACCGATACTATTGGTCCATTACAGCGCAGTAGATATGAAATAATAAAAGATTTCTTCAAAACTTAATTTTTTGAAAAATTCTCTTTTGTTACGTAAACTGATCTGCATGTTGCACCAAGTGCGTTAAATTCAGTTTAACTGATCACCCCGTGTGAACGACGGGACAAGGTGTTTTATTATTGATTAATGTGTAACCTAATCTTGCAAATCAATTGGCTAATTATACACCGGTGATGATCACCGGTGCAAACTGGTCTTTGCCTTGAAAATCAAGTTATGAGGCATAGTAAATTATATGTCTCATAACTTGATTGTCAAGGCAAAAACCCCAACTCCTAATTATATGATACTGGTTATAACAACCAGTGATTACAAGTAGTTTTTGTAAGAAAGAAATTTACAAGTACAGTATTCTAATTTTTTTATACGTATTATGTATCCTTTTTTAAATCAATAACAACACCTCAAAAATTTCCAATATCTAACAAACAAGAAACATTTTCCAAAATAATAATACAATGAAACCTCCATAAATGCACGCTCCTGAAACCGACATGCACTTAGAGAACCATAAGAAAAACTGCATTCATGAAGGTCATATATATATTTGGGTCCGAAGGTGAACGTGTGTACTTATGAAGGTTTCACTGTACAAACTTAAATAGTATACGATAGTATTTTAAACAAATTGACCATGCAATGGATTTTTAACCATGCTTGCCACTGAGAGGAATGTGTAAATAGATTAGCCATGGCAAAAATTCAAGTCAACGATGATCTCCGTCCTCTTTGACGTAGCCATTAAATCATATGTTACGTATACGAAAATTAAATCAATTAAATTAATATTAATATTGATTTAATGTTCGTGCAACATATGATTTATCGGGCTACATCAGAGGCCGGAAGAGATTGTCGATGACGTGTCTGGACATTTTTTTGCCACGACTATTTGAAAAACACCAGCGTTGCCAATAAGGGGACACCTATTATTCACGTGATTTTTGCACTACTAAATATAAAACCAACCAATCAAGGCTAACATAACCCTAGGTGTCCGAGTGGCAGTCATATGATTCCAAAACTCTTAATTCTGACAAACTTTTATAACGAACTTTTCGACGTAATTGTAATAACGAACTTTTTCAATGAACTTTTTACAGCAAAACTTTTTTACGAACTGTTTCAACGAACATTTTACAACAAACTTTCTTATACCGGATTTTTAAGGCAATTTATTATACACATTGGTGTAGAAACAGTAAATTACTCTATAAGGTACTTTTAAGAATTTTTATTATAAGAACCACCAGTTCATTATAAGGAGAGATGATCGTATTATCACTCATATCTACACAAAAAAACAATAACATTACCTTTTTTATGTAGTTAACATGAGTAAAATATTAAATAAATTCAGACCTTAAGAAAAAACACGATATAATTATAGCTTTTTTTCTAGATGTGATTACGTTTACTGGCCTTTGTTTGCAAAAGTTTAATATATGCATGCTTCATTATGAATTAATTGGTAGTTTTGGTTGTTATTAATTTTATGTTCTCTATTTAGAATTTGCTTATTTTTTTTTTGATATTCCTTTTATTCGCTACCTACACTTGGAAATGTATTACAGTATCTCGAAATTCATATATTTACTGTTGTCATAATTCGGAAGCCAGAACACAAAAAATGGCCTTATTCAATATTTATTATACTAGTAACTGTTTTCATTTAAAAAAAATAATAAAAATGTGATCCAAGTTTGAAGGCTTTCCAGAGTGTTTTAGGTCGATTATTGGTTATATTGGTGCTTTTCATGTGTCAATCGACCATTTGCTCCGACAAATTAATCGCAGCAGTCAATAGAAATAAGGCAAATTGACATTTTAAAAAAAATCAATACTTAAACTTTCACAGCTCATATCTCGATAGATCTTGAAGCTATCTTGTTGATTTAGTATTCAAAAAAAAGCTTAGATTGTAAGCTTTCTTTTGACTATTAAATAATTATGGTAGCTTTGAAATCCATCGAGATATGAGCTGTGAAAGTTAAGGTATTAATTTTTTTTAAAATGTCAATTTGCCTTAATTCTATTGACGGCTGCCCATGTGACCAAATATCTGGTCATAGCAAATATAAAAATAAGTATTTAAATGATCATTTTCGTTCCGCGTAGTTATCTTTTCCATTCTCTTTTATTGAATAAATAAACAAATGTTCGATACAGAAATACATTATCTAGTGATGGGGAAAATGCGCACGAAATGTTTCATGCGCATGATATCGCATGATAAAAAAAAGAAAAAACGATCGAGAGGAGAGAAATCTTGATGGGATAAAATGAGCATGAATGCGAATTAATGCGCATATTTCCGCAATCATGCGCACGCATGAAACCCATCTCTAACAATATCACTCTTTCGAGTGTACGATCAAATCACATATTATCCTCTTATTTATGACATTTACTATTCCATCTATTAAATACCAGTATAGCTCCACAATACTATGCATACATGATTCTTTATATTAGTTGCTGGTCTCTGAGAGATAGAGTGAGGATCATTTAGTAAATTTTAATCAACGAAATCGCCTGTCCGAACTTTTTTTGACGGTGATGCTATGGAAGAATTATAATGGTCATCAGGAATCGAAAATTCACATTCTCTAGAACCTAAAAATTTAAAAACAGTTAAAAACTTTCATAGATTAATTAAAAAATTAGATATAATAGGTTTAACTATTCACCATAAATTTTTGGAAATTCCGCCGATGAAGAGTTAATTGGTTTAGAAAGGTTAAATTTAAGCAGTTTACTTGTAAGTTTATCTTTAGGGCAAATCAGCAATTCGGCTGATAATGTTGGAATAATTGCATCTGCAAACTGGAATGCTTTTAATATTGCTAATTGATCTTTATTATATGCCCTACCACTATTTAATATATCAGACCAATTAAATAGTTTACCAAAGATATTGTGATTCCGGAATCGGCGAGTCTGTCGCTACTCTAATCCAACTCTCGCGTAACCTACGGCGGCTAAGTCGAAATAGGCGTGTTAGAT